AGTAGCCCAAGAGTTGGCGGTGGGTGGTGATGACTAGCTGCTAAAATTAGGGATGGCTAGCGCAGGTAGATCTCGTGTAGCTTCGCGCGAAATTTAAAACAAACAAACAATAATTTTTGATTTACTCTGCTTCTTTACACAATGATAATCATGATTCATTTTGATGCTGATTCAAGTTACGTTTGAGAACTATTTATCGTCAATATTTAAAAACTATTATTTAACTATTATTAAACACTCACCATTCACTAGTACAACAGAACAAAGAGTAGAGATGAGAAACGTCCTTTGGTCTAAACGAGGAAAATTCAGCAAAAAAAAAGTAAGATTATGAACTGAACAAAAGATGAACTCATTAGTACTAAGCCTATTATATACCCGAACACTACATTCTTTATATAGTATAAAGAATTGAGTGTATAAAAATATAATATGCTTACTACTGATGTCTTATGACAATTAAAATTGTAATCATGCTTCGCCAGCTTGTAAAGGCGTTTACACCATATCACTGGAATTAAACATCTTTCTCTTTAGCTATCATTTTACCATTGGAATGATATATCTTTCTCTTCATCTATCAATATACCCTTGAAATAACATATCATACTCTTTATTAATGTATCACTATAATAATATAGCTTTCTCTTTATCTATCACTATACCACTAGAATGAAACTTCTCATTTTATCTATCAGTATATCACTAAATTAACAGGAATATACTCACGGCTGTCTGTATTTATTTCAACCAGGACTGTTGTCACTATGAATAAGACGAGACACACTAGAAGAGAGCCACCGATTCTTTTCATTGGGCTTACTCTAGAAGATTTTGGAATAAAGTTTTAAAGACTAATGATTACTTCTAACACATTATTTACAACTTATAGAAGTTCACAAAGAAAGATCTAGTAAGATACTACACACCTTTTAATGTACATCATTCGTCTCATTTAATGCACCATATAGATGACAGAACATGGCTTTTATATGATGTTATACACACTACAGATGACAGAACATGGCTTTTATATGATGTTATACACACTACAGATGACAGAACATGGCTTATATGTGATATTATACACCCTATCGATAATAGAACATAGCTTATACATAATGTTATATACCCTATAGATGACAGATCACAACCTAATATATATTGTTATCACTCTGTAGATGACAGAAAACAACCTAATATATGTTGTTATACATTTTATAGATGACAGTAAAAC